ATATATATTCATTCATTGCCCTTTTTGTGGACTGTTTATTCTTTGGAATTCTAATAGATTCTAATTCGATTTTTGGAAATAGTTCGTGAATTTCAAATTTAGTTTCCCAGCCCTGCTCGCGATCACTCAGAACATCACAACAATTGTATCACAATGTGGTAAAAATGACTCCGAACTAGTATCAGTGTCATTCACAGTCTAGACGTTGAGGCTGTGTTGCCAATGGCAACCTGGATTTCATCCGGACCTTCTGCTCGGCATCTGAAAGAGAGAGCCAGCTGGCGGTTTCATTAGCTGTGAGCCATCTAAGAATTTCCTACTTTGTTATTATGCATTTCTTTTGTTTTTATGCTGGCTGAGATCGTTTAATGCAGATCGTTTAATATGAATTCCATGCTAATTGCTGTGACTGTTCAGAAGTAGTTTAACATTAGCTTCTGCCTTTGACACAAACACACCTGTGAACAGAGAAAGGAGCTGTTTTTACTGGCTGATGCTCATGTCAAGAGTCGTGGAGAGACAAACTATTTATCCGGTCTGAATGAATCTATGAGTTTGAACAAATGTTTAAAATAAATCTCCAGTTTATTATTTTCATCATGATTCATAATGCTTTATAATGAGTTACTGAGTTTTTTCAGGTAATTCGGTCACCTAATTGAACTTGCATTTTAACATTATTTATAAAATGATTTATTAAATTGTTGTGGTATTCTAAAACAGCCAATGAAAAGTCAGTTTTCACATGCATTTCTAAAAAAATAAATGTGATGTCAGTGTTGCTCTATTTCATTCTATATGACTGATACTTGCACACGTCACAGGGAATTAAAAAAATTATGAATGAAAATAAATAACGTCATGTTCCTCGTTCATGATACACTGCAATGCTTTCCCATTGAATGCTGTTGGGTCTATTCAATACATGGTTATAACATTAACATTGCTTTTTAGAATTATTATTATTAGTATTTTAATTTTTTTACATTTGCACAACAATTTTGGGTCTTGTGTTGGGTAACCACTTCATATTCAGTGTAAACCGCACGAGAGCCGCTGATCTATGGCTGCTGGTTTGGTTAAAATATTTGCATATTGTTGCCCACCTGGTGGCGCACTCAGAGAACTATTCATGCATCTCTTCAGCTGCAGCACATTCTGCACTCTAGTGGTTCTCACCCACATTGTGTAGTATACTGTATTTTTTCATAGTCTCTTAATATTAGCCCAATGCTCATAAATGGCAAGCAAAAAAAATATTTTAAATGTCAAGGACCCCCAAAGACAATGCTACATTGTCTTATGTGTAAAATATATGTGAATGTAAACGATTCATTTATACTGTGTGGAAAATATTATGGAGTGTGGTATTGTAAAGACTACTAAATTGCACAATTGTTTAATGTATGTTCTTATATTGTTAGTGTTATTTTGGTATTATTAATATACATTACAGTTTTTAATTTATTTAATTAATGTTTCACTTTTATATTTTAAGTTTTAGTTACATAGTTGTTTTTTAATATCTTTAGTTTTTATAAATATTTATTTTAGTTTTGTTGTTTTAGTACACCAAGTTAAAATAAATGAATATGAAAATTGGTGCTATGGCAACTAGCTGAAATAAAAAAAAATTTAAAAATATTTTATTTCAATTTGTTTATTTCATTTCAAATTGTCTCTGCAATATACTTTAGAAACTTCTAAATGAATATCATTAATGTCATAAAGGTATACTTCACTCAAAAATTAAGATTCTGTCGTCATTTACTTAATTTACGTCATTTCATTCCAAAACAATAAGTGACTTTCTTCTGCAGGACACAAAAATGATATTTCGAAGAATATTGGTAACCAAACAACTTTGGTGGCCATTGACATGTATGCGCAAAAGAAAAACACTGAAATATTTTTGCAAAATACATTTCTTTTAAAGTCATACAGGTTTAGAATGACAGAGGTGAGTAAATGATAACAGAATTTCCATTTTTGGGTGAACTATCCCTTTAAGATACACATTATTAGAAGAATTTTTTCTTTTTCTTTCAAAGATCCTCTAGAAAGATGTTACAACCCCCTAAGGTTCCGCAGACCCGAATGAGAAAGCCCCATATCTAGCCACCACAGGTTTTGCATTATGAATCATAGTAATACCATGGCATTTTATACATCCAATCAATCACTAATAGATAAAAAGTCTCCAGAATTTTTTTTTTGAACATCCTTGAAATATCCAGCTTTGAAATACTTTATGGAAGTAAAATGGCCAGTTCACTGTTTCATGTGGATTGTGAATGCTAGTACTAGTAAGTAATGCAGTACGGTGTCAGCTGGTGCCCTTCCCTTCACACTTCCTCTGGATCTGTGTCAGGAAGTGAGTGAAGGCCCTGAATCATCTCGGACTGTTCTTCTTCTCTCTTGGCCATCTGGAGCAGTGAGGAGGGCAGCACACTCTGTGATCTCACAACAGACTGAAGAAGCAGCCCATCTGTTGGCCTCACCTCGCCAGCTCTCACTGCTGCACACAGACACCGAGGCCAGCACTAGAGAGCACAGCTACTGAAACACACATGCTCTTAGACTGAGAACACCACACGGAGACACCTGCAGAGAACTGAAGTCTGTGTGTTATCTGAAAGGGAATCACAAGGTGTTTACACAAAAATAATGCATTTACTGAAATCACTTTTAGTAAATCATCAGGTTTCTAGATATTGGCTCGGTTTGGGTTCCGGCTGCAGTGTAAACTGATGCAAAAAGAGTTGGTTGCTGCTGAATGTTTTGCACTTGTGAAATATCTGTTTGGACAGATGGGAGGATAAGACAGTTTCTAAAAGTGACTTTGATATTTGAAGCCATTAAAATATAGAACGTCAAAATGTTATGTTAAAAAAAATTATGTTAATGTAAATGAAGATGAGATGATATTCATGGAACTCTTTAAGATCTTTAAAGAATATTTCTGCAGTATCTCTGTTTGTTTGAAATAGTTTAGTGTATTACTTTGATGTTTGTTTTATAGATCCGTTTACGATGATCAGCCCAACGCACACAAAAGGTTTATGGAGAAACTTGATGCCAGAATACGCAACCATGACAGAGAGATTGAGAAAATGTGCAACTTCCATCATCAGGGATTCGTGGACGCCATCACAGAACTGCTGAAAGTCCGAGCAGATGCTGAGAAGCTGATGGTACGTGGAAATCATAATTCAAATATTTATTATTATTAATAATTATTCTTTTTAGGGATGAGAAGTATATATTATGCTTTCTTATTATTGAGAAATAATTTTAAGATAATTAATTTTGTCCTGCTAAATATTGTGGCAGTGCCATGGTAGAATAATAGTATCAGAAATGTGTATATATATAAATATATACCATTATACTAAACCGCGCTGGGTGATATGTAGAAAATTCACAACATATTCACATTGATTTAGCCCACAATCCAAAATTAAGTGAACATTGCTGTGATTTTTAAATCCTGTTGAAAAGCTTTTCATTAATATTCATAGAATTTAGTGGAATCAGTTTAAAATGCTTTATTAGTCCTTGACCTTGTATGGCGCTTAAAATATGACAAAAATATTTGAATTGTGTAAATTAACACAAAGTGTCATTTAACAAAACTAAATATTATGTGGCATTTAACACCGTTTTGAATTAGATTTTGTTTTACTTGGATATAGAACATTTGAAATTTAACACGATTGAATTTTTTCGAGTTTTACAGACATGTATTTTCAAACAGCGGATTTTTTTGTTCTGAATTCTTAGACTGCAAATACCCAGTTTTTAAAAATACAGCTTCCAAGTTTTCAAGATGAAGAAATTCAGAACATCAAATTCAATATTCTAAAATTCAAAACGCGGAAATTCAGATCGCACAGAGAGTAGGTCAGCGGTCATCCACAGGGAAAGAGTAGATGATCTCCGAAAAGTCGAACGAAGCATTTTGGACAATTACTACGGTGACCGGGAGGGAACATGTTCGGTTCACTTAGTTTTGTCATGGCCACTACATATTAACTCGTGGGAACATGGTAATATGTTGTGGCCAGGCGCTGTGAAGTTGTGGCCTCGAGATGCTATGTTGAGGGAACAGCATCCATCTCTGGTGGCCACGACTTATGTTGAAGGAATGACAAGTGGCTTGAAGTGGGCCGGTACGCAGTATATAATGTAGTCTTTTGCATACCGGCACTTCTGACATGTTGCCAGTACTTAGAGTCAAAGCGTCAGTGTCTGGGTGATTAGAAATGACACTAAACTGTATAAAGCGCACTACCAGGAGGGGTCACCTCTCATCTCGACAATTCACATGAATGAATGCAAGCGGAGTCGGTCTACCGCAGGGGTTTTCAATGTGGGGGGCAAGAGAGCAAGTCAGGAGAGCTAGAATAATAATGAATTATTGATTACTAAATTGAATCAGTACATTATAACGAAAACAATACCTTAAAAATGAAAAGAAGCAGGTTTTTGCGATCACAATCTTAATTCAAAACTGTTAAATGCCACATAATATTCAGTTTTGTTTAGTGACACTTGTCAATAATTCAAATTTACACGATTCAAATAGTTTTGTCATATTTTAAGCTCCATACAAGGTCAAGGACTAATAAAGCATTTTTTAGCATATTTTAAGCTCCATAACCTTGTGTGCAGTTTACTACTTTGTATTTTTATAATGGCACATATTAAGGAAAAAGATCAGATATTATTCATTGTGTTAATTTAGTGAAAACATTGTGGAAAAACAGGCCTTTTAACAAACGATTTACCCTGTTTAAAATTATTTAGTGTTTTCATCTTGAACCTGTCTGGCCGTTTTAGAGTTTATTATTATTATTAAAAATATGTTGAAATATGTGAGGATTAACATCACATGGCTTACATAAGTATCTCAATATTGTTTTACGTAATGTTGTTAATATTGAATGATTATCCTATTAATACAGTGGGGCAAATAAGTATTTGATACACTGCTGATTTTTCAAGTTTTCCCACTTACAAAGAATGGAGAGATCTGTAATTTTCATCGTAGGTACACCTCAACTGTGAGAGACAGAATCAAAAAAAAATCCAGAAAATCACATTGTATGATTTTTAAATAATTAATTTACATTTTATTGCATGAAATAAGTATTTGATCACCTACCAACCAGCAAGAATTCTAGCTTTCACAGACCTGTTTTTGTATGATACATCAAGTTACTGCAAAGAATACTATTATGGCGCTTTTCCACTGCGTGGTACGACTCGGCTCGGTACGGCTCAGTACGGTACGGCACGGCTCGGTTCGGCTTGGTTTGCGTTTCCACTGCAGTTTAGTATCGCTTTAGAATGGGCGGGATTATTCACATGTCGTTTTAGTATCGCTTTAGAGTGGGCGGGATTATTCACATGTCATTATAGTTGCGCCGCCTCTACTACCACGACTCCTAAAAAAACTTTCTCATTCCGCATCGCCCCATCAAGCTCTCGCTGGATCCGCTCCTCTGCTATCAACGAGAGGAACGTCTGTACTTCCTCAACAGGGGGAACAGCCACTTTTTGGTTGTTAAAAAAAAGTGCGCTCGTTCAAAACAGTTGCGTTCGATCCTTCGCTGGCTGTGCTGATTTAAATCTAGCGGTTCTTTTTTGTTTGTGACACAAGTTCAGTGACGCAGGTAGTGACGATTCTCTCTACTAAAAAAAGTACCAGGTACTGTACCCAGTGGAAAACCCCCCAAAAGTGAACCGTACCGAGTCGTACCGTGCCATACCATGCAGTGGAAAAGCGCCATTATGCTACCGCGGTACATGGTACTTTTTTTCACTTTTTTGTTAATGTGGTTAAAGTCTTATGGGTACTTTGCCCCATTTTCGAAATAGGGGTAGTTAATTTCAAATGCATGTTTATCCAGTATCTTATTTTCTATACCTTATTAGACTTTTAAAACAGTTTTTTTCCCCCTCTGAATATAAAGAAGGCCCGATGTGCTTCAAGCGGAATCGAAAACCGAAGAACTGGTGTGATGCCATTTTGTACAAAATTGGGCCAAAATTAAGTTCGTTTAGAGTTCAATTTAGGAGTTTGAAACAGTTTGCCAAAGTGAACTTTCTATTACACATTCATGTTAACTTTGGATGAATAGAGGTTCTGCGTAACAAACTTCCATATTCTGTAAAACAGGTCTTGTCACTTCCGGTTCAGGTCTTTCCTGAAGTTTCCTCAGACCTCTTTCCTAGTTTCCTCAGACCAGTGCTCACTCCCGTGGAATGGAGACATGCCCGTAGTGTCTAATTTTTATCCACGATGGTTGGGTCATTGTGCGTTCACGGGGTTCAGGCCTTGCGCTGAAATCGCACGTGGCACGCCAATTCTCTTTAGCTCCCTTTCCACTTCCCAGAGTGAAATATGGTGACCAAACGGCACAGGAGTGGCTTACCAATCCTCGTAATTAGACCCACATTATATAACGCATATTCAGATAACAAGAGAGCACATACGGCATCAATGAGGTCACTGGGCCCTCTTTGTTCACGAATAAATGAGATTTTTAATAAACTCAAAAAGCGGTTCCTTATTACGATGACCTAATGAGACTTAATATGTGGGAAAGTCTGTGGCCATGCGGTCCCTGCACCTGGGGCACAATACTGGCGCTGTGGTGTGGAGGTTTTCACATTTGATGTTAATCAGCCACCCAGCGTTTGTGTTCAGCTGAAAAAAAACAGAAAAAAAACAATGTTTAATTACCAGAAAATGCTATCCGCATTTTACCCCAGACAATGAATGGCACATAGAGCTCATTGAAGTTACCAACAAGGGACCAATGGTCAATTGGGTCATTGATTTGAATTGTTTGACAGAGCCAGAGGAACAACCAAAGTTCAAAAATCCCAAGTAAAATTGAGAAGTTTGTCACAGAATCTGTTAGAAAGGGCTGTCAGAAGCGATTACCGGCCATAAAAGCTCCCCGCCGACCAAAAGTTCAAGTTCCCGCTGCACATTTAATTTGAATTTGCATGGCTTTGTTCTTGACTCCTCATGAAGCATGATCTGATTACAAGGGTGAGCAGTTACAACAGGGAATCGTGGGCTTATTTGTCTAACAAAAGTGATATTATGTTTTAAGGGCCAAGTGAGCGACACCAATCGAAGACTTCAAGACGCCGGACGAGAGGTATGGCACAGTCTGGCTTTGTTAGTTTGTCTGCTGTTAGATGGGCAGAAGAAAAGAATGTCTATTATCGAACAATAGTGCAGAGAGGACTGTCTCGTTAATTGAGAGGGCTTCACACTCTTTGACCTTCCCTTATGTAAGGTGACGGCCCAAACAGAGGAGGTCATACGCTGCCGAATTCAACAGAGGAACATGGCCACCACGGTGGAGAAGCTGCAGCTCTGCATTCCCGGTGAGATGACACGGTTGCGTAAAAATATGACCTGTAACCGCGACGCTTTTGTCCTTGTTTCCCAAAGATTTCAGCAAAAGACTATTAAAAACAATCAAGGTACCGTAAACGCCAATGTTCCCAGGTTTCTTGTTACAGTAATGCATAGGGTTGTAACCGGTATGTACTAGAACCGAATCAGAACGCAGATTTCGGTGCCACCAATGCTTGAGCGATCGATTGAAATATTTGTTCTCTGGTTCTCCGAAACGGACGTAAGGATCACCGGCACCGCACGTGAAAAATAATTTCCCGACTGAGAAAATTCACGAACGCAAGTCGGAAAGCTCTAATAATACAAATCCAACACATCTTTGTAGTAACGCGAGTGTCCATGTTGACTTAAAAGCACAACTCGGGAAATGAGAGCATCCGAGGAGAGCGGGAATGCAGCAGTTACACTTGATCTGATGGCAACAGGTAGATACCGTTCTATACTGTAAAAAGCATATGGTAAAAAGGCTATGTCAATTAGCAATGGATTATAAATATGCTTAATTATGATGAAAATACCAAAGATGGCTTGAATAACACGGATAAACTATACATTGTCGCAGTCAAGTGTTTATTGTCTTTGTTTTATCATTCAAAATGTTTATATCTTCTGTTTACTCCGTTACAGCAATAGCAATGCCTTTGTCCATATTAGGGATTTCCTGAGTCCTTTTCCTTCTGTGATACTCATGTGGAGTTTCTGGGCAAGGGCACCCTCTGGCATCCAGTATGAATGAAACAGACATTAAATGTGTTTATAGCACTCAATAATGGCCAATCCATCCTATTTTGGGAATTTTTTTTTTAAAGTGTCGTTCAGGCACCAGAACCGTTTTAAAAGTATAAATTTGGCACCGGTATCGGAAAAAACCCAACCGATACCCAACCCTTGTAATGAGTCCAGGTCCTCATTAAACTGTGCCCTGTGTTTATATTTTATGGCCTCTCTGACTTGATACAACAGTTCCTAGCTGCTTGGACAAAAGAGAAAGAGAGAGAATTAGATGTTTTGTTTTTACAGTGGTTTAATCAAGAAACCCATTGGATGATTCTGTAGATAAATGCAGTTATGTGTGGTTTCTTTGGCCTGTTTCTTTCAAAAAGAAATAATAGACGTTTAGGAAGTGGTTAAAGTTCACTGAATGGCGAAAATGTTTCCGTTTGATTTCTTTTGACTTGAAATCATGCTGTCTTTTGTTTACATTTCTGCAGTCCTGGAAATGTACAGCAAATTGAAGGAGCAGCTTGAATCGAAAAGGTAACTTACTGATTATTTGGGCTAATATGAGTTTTTATCTTTATTGCAAATCAGTCATATTCATTAATGGTGACAAAATAGGTTAGAATGTCTTTAAAAAGGAAATTAATTTAATAAAAAAACTTCATGATATTAAACTAAATATTATATAAGTTGCATCGAAGGTTTAAGGTTTGCACTTTCCGGTCCAAATACAGTTTAAAACTATTATTTTAGTGATTGATATGTTCCAGCAATAGAAATTAAATATACACTCAATAAAAAATATTTAAAAAATTAATGAGTTACAAAGAAATGACAAGGTTACAATTAACAAGGTTGCAGATTTGTTCTAAATGTTGTCAGTATGTTTAGGAGAAAGGTTGGTTTTAGTTATTGACAAGCCTAAACTTTCCATAAATTAAAGAAAGAATATTCTCATGATCATGCAATATCTACAATATAATAGTAATTGAATGTGTGAGCTTGATCAATGTAGTCAACGACACTACAGTTATACGGTGTCAAATTTGAGAAAAAGTAATGAGACAATTTACGGTTTGCTGAAGAAAGTCACAATTTGAAATCTTTTTTTTTTTTTTAAATGGGGAGAAAGTCATGCAATAAAAGGGTTGCACCCAAAACAGCAGAATATTATATGATAAAAATTAATTCTACAATGAAATGAATAGAAATTTGAATTCTTTATCATTAAAAACTATCTACTTTATATGTATTTATATAATTAAAAATTTTAACATTGTTTTGTTATAGTTTAAACGTATGTAAGAGTTTACACTCTAATATATATATATATATATATATATATATATATATTTGTTCCTTTGCTTTAAAAAAAAAAGGAGGATGTGGAAAGTGGCAGTGTCTTGCTAAAAAGATTAATTGAACTGTTAGAATTGTTTAAAATGCATTTAAACATCTTTTATAAAGAAGTGTTTGGTCATCTCCTAGAAAGAAGGGATGGATGTAAGGTCACGTTGAACTTGAAAATAATGACCCTTTTTTGTCCATTAAGGTCTACTTAGTCAGTCATAACACATCATGAATAAATAAACTATTCAAACGCAAAGACAATTGACCTTGTGTGTGCCCTTCTTCACAGCACTGCCCTGTACCGTCAGGCCCATGTCAAGCCTCCTCCAAATTGAGGCAATTAGTGCAATGTGTTTTTCCATTAATCTGTGTGTCGCCATTGCGCGCTAATGACTAGGCTGGGACATGGTCTAATCAGGCAGCGATTCTTTCGCAGTTCACATGTAACACTCGCTGGGAAGGGTGCCACTTTGTCCATCCACATGGACGCACGCGCACTTCAGAGCGCTGAGGTCAGGGAGCATTCAGAGGCACCGGCTAGTGCGGTACAAGTTAATAAGCATACAAGTACGTTGAATATGGACAGGCACAGGTCATGCATTGTGCAAGTTTGTTATTTTTGAGCCCGTGTTGCATATATACTAACGGATATATTTTAATTATTTGGAATAATTATGCTTTTTGAAGCTCAAAAAAACGTCATGTGTTTGGTCAAAAAAAATAAATAATTAGGTTTCACTTTATTTTGATGGTCCCTTTTAAGGGTTAGTTCACCCAAAAATGTTGTCCTTACAAAAATTCTGTCATTAATTACTCACCCTTGTGTCGTTCTAAACCCGTATGACCTCCGTTCATCTTCGGAACACAATATATATATATATATATATTGTGTTAAATATATTAATATATTTTTGATGAATTTTGAGAGCTCTCTGACCCTCCCATTGACAGCAATGTAATTACCACGATCAAGGTCCAGAAACGTAGCAAGGAGATCGGTAAAATAATCCATGTGACATCAGGGGTTCAACCGTAATTTTACGAAGATATGAGAATACTTTTTGTACGCAAAGAAAACAAAAATAATGACTTTATTCAACAATTCGTCTCCTGCGTCACGCGGATACGTTGTTTTCGTTCAAATCAAAGTGTAAGCAACATAGAAAACGTTGTAGAAAACGCGTGACGCAGCTTACACAGAATAGCATACGCAGTTTACGTTCAGTGGATACTCTCCAAAATGGCACCAGGAGACGAATTGTTGAATAAAGTAGTTATTTTAGTTTTCTTTGCATTTATTTGAAACTGAAAATTGTGTAACATTATAAATGTATTTACTGTCACTGTTGATCAATTTAATGCATCCTTGCTGAATACAATTATATTTTTATGTATTTTTTTTTTTTTATCTTTCTTAATTTTGAGTGGTAGTCTATCACTGTTCACAAAATATTAACCAGCAAAAACTGTTTTCAGCATTGATAATAATAAGAAATGTTTCTTGAGCAGCAAATCAGCATATTAGAAGGATTTCTGAAGGATCATTTAACCATGAAGACTGGGATGATGATACTGAAAATTCAGCTTTGCCATCACAGGAATAAATTACATTTTAAAATATATTCTAATAGAAATAATTTATTTTAAATCGTAAGAATATTTCACAATGTTAAAATAATGTTTTTATAAAATAAATGCAGCCTTGAGGAAACTTGTTTTTAGAAACATTAAAAATCGTAATTGTTCAAAACTTTTGACCAGTAGTGTATTCTGGAAAAAAACAACTTTAAATTAAACTTTTCAATTAAGATCCCATGCTTTCCCATGACTCTCCTGATAGCAGCATACTTCCATGAATTTGGCCACCACACTAATCAATACAAGCAAAATATGTAATGAATTGGGTGTGAAGAGCACGGGAACACAAGCCTTTAATAAACGTACATGTTTGTTGTGGTAGTATTGTAGTTATTCAGTGCTTATAAACTTCCACCTGTGACCACACACTTTATATTAATGCAGCAAAGTTGCAACATTGCTTATCAACCGTATACAGTCTGTAGTTAAATATAAGCACTCTTACTTAGTGAATGAATAACTTACTCTGACCAGAGCGATCCTCCCTATACGCAAAATATGCAAGCTGCGTAGGGCCCCCGAACACCAGGGGGGGGCCCCCTTGCTCGCAAAGATGATTTAATTTTAGTTTCGTTTATGCAGTGTGCTGTCGCCCTTTCTACGTAAAAATCAGTCAAATCATGTAACGTGAATGTCGTACAGTGTCTTACTCGAGACAAAAAAAAAAAAACGAGTTGAAAGCGTACCGAGCCACAGAAGAGACACCGTTTCTCAAGCGGACAAAGGCGTTTCATTCATTCATAACTCGTCATTCATACATGTACTATTGAAACAGTGAGTACAGATTGGCCCGGTTCACTTTCATCATGATACGATCTGACACTGATTCTCTTAGCCAGAGATAGGATTTTTACAGATACCTCAAAACATGCCGCAATACAATTACAATTTGATTAGAATTATTACGAAATTGTGCTTATTTTACAGTTACATTTTTATTAACTAACAATTGCAACCAAAATATAAAATTAACTTTTAATTGAACTCCCTGGAAGTTGCCAATACTATAACCCAGTTGGTTGTTATAACTGATCAAATATTTCATGTCACCGCATAGAACAGACGATGAACTTGAGTGTCAAAATAAAGGTGCATCTTATTGTTTGTGGGTGTTTTGTCAGTACATCATATTATTAGTCATTTGATCGATGCATTGTTTTAGCCCTAGTAAGTGTCTCGCTGTAACCAGATTTTTGCTCTTTTTTTTCTTCCTTTTTTTTTTTAAAGAATATTGAAACCATCTTACTCTTTATTATCATCTCATTTCTGTTGTCTTTTAGGGGGTTTTAGGGAAAGGTAAACTGATGACTGACATGAATCTTTTCCTTTTCAGATACTACTCTGCATTGAAAACAATGGAGCAGCTAGAAAACATTTATATTCCCAGAGTGAGCCAGTACAGGTTCTGCCAAATCATGGCTGAGACACTCCCTAAACTCAGAGAGGAGATTAAGGAGATCTCCATGTCTGACCTGAAAGACTTCTTGGAGAGTATCCGAAAGCACTCGGATAAAATTGGTGAAACCGCAATGAGACAGGTAGTATTTTATTTTTATTTTATATTATTTATTTTTTAAATAGGCTGTTGTAAATGTTGCTGTTTCAAAACCTAGTCTATGGTTGCATCCTAACTGAACAGATGCTCATAAGTAGAGGTCGACCGATTTTGCCAATACCGATAGCTAGGTTGGACCACACTGGCCGATACCGATTAATTAACCGATAGTTTTTAAAATGGATACTGAACAAAAACTAAAATAAAGCTTTATAAAAAAAAACAGTACTGAACCATACTAGTAGTAGTAGTAGTACTAAAAATAATAATTAAAATGTTGAAATTAACACACTCTAACAAGGAACAATACTTTCATTACACAGCTTTCATTAATCTTAATGTTACAAATGGACTCTTATTTTAAAGTGTCACCATTTCATTTCAACAGTCATGCTTAAAGATGCACATTTTTAAATATATACACAAAGGCCATAGCATTAAAATTATATACATATGGATATTGTATGTATACTCTCACACTTTAACTTCTTCTATTCTTGAACACTTGATTATCTAATCAAAATAAAAGCGCAGCTCTGAGTCTAGGAGAACTCACCGGTATCACACACACTCCGGACGCATCGCATTCAATTCGAGCAGTCTAAAACAGTTTATTTAATCACCAAACAGACACGGGTTTACTTCAAGATTGAACGAACAATGAGGTATAGATGAGTTTGAAGTTCGGTATTTAAAAAACGGAGCAAACGGAAAGAGAAAGCGCGATCTATATTATAGCTCTATAAATGACGCATTAACAACAATTCGTGACAAATATAATGTAATTTAATGGAAAACTATGTGAATAGTGCTCTGTGGCGTGGCAGGATTTTCTGTCGGCTGCATTTAAATCCGCGTCTGAAGATTCCCGCTCTGTTCAGCGTGCAGTATCATGCGTCTAAACAAATAGCACGTGCTGTCAGTGATTTCAACCACTAGAGGCCGCTCTCGTACTGTATAATGACAGCAGACCCTTCTCAGCCGTTCCAGCAACGGACGCAACCCGGAAAACTATCGGCATGGATTTTTGCCAATAACGATAGTCTGTTCAGCGTGCAGTATCACGTGTCTAAACAAATAGCACGTGCTGTCAGTGATTTCAACCACTAGAGGCTGCTCTCGTACTGTATAATGACAGCAGACCCTTCTCAGCTGTTCCAGCAACAGACGCAACCCGGAAAACTATCGGCATGGATTTTTGCCGATAACCGATAGTTCCAGCAAAAAACTATCGGTGGCGATTAATCGTCAAAACCGATACATCGTCGACCTCTACTCATAAATGACTGATTTGGAGTGCTGTACATAGGTGTCTACATATCATTCAAAGTGCATGAGAGAATAGACTGATTTCAGAGCTTGCTGTTTGCATGTTAACGTTTGCAAGACTGTTGACGTTATTTTTGGTTTTCTCAGGCTCAGCAGCACCGTACGTTTAACAGTGCGGTGCAGAAGCAGGTGACTCTGAGCTGTGCCAAACCTCTGTATGGTCTGAACAGCCGAACACCCCTCCATCACAACGGCCTGAGCGCAGAGGCAACAGATGAAGAAGAGATGGATGAGGAGGTAGCATCATCAAGCCCAAATAACATCCTTTTGTGAAGCGCCATACTGTGGCCCTTCTTTATGTATGGCCATAACATCCAGGACTTCTAGAAAACATCCAGATTTCATCCCAAAATTCTATTTGACAAAGAAAATTCATTTAGAATCATTATATTTATTTATTTTTATAACTGCAAACATTCCCCTCTGATTATTGTTAATAATATTCAATTCATTACAGTAAAAAAAGGATTTTAACATAATGATTTTTACAATTAAAACCAGCATAAAAGGTGGTACAACAGTGTAAGGCCAGAACAACAAATCCCATGATGCATAAATACTTGAATTATACTTTCAATAATGCTCATTTGCGTAAATACTTAAAATATCATTAGTTATTATTATAGAGAATATATTAGTAAAATATACTTAAAGTACAATTTAAATATATTACCGTTACTTTAATGAAAATAATGTGTGTGTATATACAGTATTTATACAATATATAAAAATTCTAATTATTTTTCTTGTATAACATATTATAAACCAATAATATATTTAAATGCTTTAAACAGCCTGTGTTTGAAGGAATTTTTTGTTGAATCTTTGTGTTGTTTGATCACTTTTCAATTCAAAGATATCTGTTCAAAACATCGTTGAAGCATCACTGTTTAATGCATTGCCACAGGAAATGTTCCTTTAACCTTGTCGGTTTTCTTTTTAAGGTCCTGACGGCACAGGATCTGGTGGATTTTTCGCCAGTCTACCGATGTCTTCACATCTACACTGTTTTGGTAATTCCCAGTCTCTCTTTCACTCCAGATGTGTCGGGCACACAGTGAACAACCGATATATCAAGAGCCCGTCTCCATAACATGTTATGAAAGCCTGTTTGGGTTCTGCAGTAGAACACAATATGTGTTTTATTGAGAAACATTCCTGTTGATCTGTATCTAATAGGTCCCCAGCCTCTGAGTTGACAGTGCGGTTTCATTGAAACCTTGTCTCCCAAGTTGCTCCTCAAACATTAATGGCTTATAAAAGCAATGGGATTTCCAGAGTTTTGACTGTCGTGCCATCAATATTATTTTTGCTTTAAACCAAACACAAACTGTGGAGAGGTGAGATTGAGTTTGTTAGCGCTTGGTGCCATCGCTCATCTGGTCTGAACTAATCCCGAGTCCTTCAACACGCCAACAAAAGGGGTCAGACTGCAGCATCTAATGGGACTGACCGAGCAGTAACCCCCTTTTCGCCGTAAAAACAAAGCAGTGAAAAAGTTCCTCGCTTCGGGCATTCAGATTCTGCACAAACCGCGGTGCAGAATGAGTCGAAGGCTTTCCCCTCAATGGTTCAGTTAATGAGAACATGAGCGCTTTTGACCGTTGTGCTACCCGAGCGCTCACAGGTGCTGGTAAGGGCCAAGGGCCACTCTTCAGCCACACACACAGAGAGGGAGGGGGGGGGGGGGGGGGAGGGGGCTTTTATTTC